GAGGGCTCCTGCACCGACAGCCCGGGGGGCACCCAGCCTGCACCCCCCGGCACCTCTCCTGCACAGCTTACAGGGTGCTGATCCCTCCAGAGGAGCCTTTGCTGTCGGGGGCTCCTCGGCCTTGGGCTGCGCACGGGGCTTGGATCTGAAGCACTGCTTAGGTTATGGGGACAGACAGACAGAGGTACTGGACCAAGCCAACACCTCCAGCGTGGTTTCTGAGACACAGCTTCCTCGCAGAAGATACCCCCACGTAACGGGGCTGCTCCCTGTAACTGAGGAAGAGACCAGGCTCAGTCCGACACACGGTATAACGGCACCTTCCTTTTGTTTCCGTGCTAACACAGCCATCCTCATCTTACACAAATAGGAACATTATGTCCTGCAGTCGCAACACACGATGCACCTTTTTCCACTGCAAAAATCTCTGCAGCAACTCCTCAGCATCTCCCATGGTTGGGATTTTGTTCTTTTCCATCCAAAACTCCAGAGAAGACAGTACTATCGTTAGATTGAGGCAAGCAAACATCTGGAGACAGACAGACACCACGGCTTGTCCACAGAGCCCTGCTCCTCTGCAGTTCCCCACCTGCTTTAGCTACGGGGTCTTACCCATACAGCTACCACACATTTCCCATGCACCTTCAGGATGCGACCAAAAGCAACTTACACTGTTCACGTAGCTGAAAAGCTGCACTATCTCGACTGTCACAGCATCCTTGTCTGCTCCCAGGTAGTCATACTGAAAGATGACAAACACAAGAGCATGTCAGAGCACCGTGCAAGGCAAATTCTCCAAGAGCACTGGCTGTGGTCCCTGCCACAACGTATTCTTGTCCATGCCCAAAGGAGTGAGTTCCCATTGCGCAGAGACTCTCAAGCCTCGTGCAAATTGCCCTTGATATTCTTGTGTAGCTACAGACTCGCTGTGTGCAGAAGTTTTTCCTAGAGACAACAATTTACAGCAGAGACGATGTAAAAATTTACCAGAGCCTTGTCCAAAACTGCATGCATTTCCAGATACCTGGAGGATCTATGGACAGCATGCTTACTCTTTAGGAAAACCAAAAAACATGCATGATAACTGCTGCCAAGAAATCCCTGTCCTGCTTGCCCAGCCTTGGATCACCCTCACAGCTGTCAGCCATCCTGGACAGAGACTCATCCTTAGCACAGACGAGTTACGAAGCCCTTTAGCATCTGCTGTACCAAATCATCTCAGAAACAACCCAGTATTACACCAATTGAGGCATCCTTCAGCTACTAATTTCCCAAGTCTACGGCTAGCATCCCAGCAAAGACCAACCAGTCGGGAGGTGTACTGGCTGTTGTTGCATCCTCCAGCTTCGGTGGCACCTCCCCAATCTGGACAAGAGAGCCGTTTTCTACAAACGGCCGAGTCTCTATGTTTTCATTCCCCATTGGGTACACGAGATGCTGATAACCGGCTGCAGTCTCCAGGGGTTTGATCCCATAGCTGGCATTCACAAGCTGCAGGACTCCACTGGAAAACAAAGGCATGGAGTTGCAGGAATGGCTCCTCTGCCACCATGGGATGACACCGACTCTGCCCGGTGCTCGCACTGACGCCTGTCCCCCCAGCAAAGGCAACCGCTTTACCTCAGGCCGGCGCAGGTGCTAAGTGCCACCAGTGAAATGGGAAAACCCTCGACATAGCCTTCATAGAAGCAGTCGTGCTGGAAGGAGTAAAGCCGTATCTACAGCTCGGTGCCTTCACCCCAGAGACCCAGGGAGAGCTGCAGCGTGCGAGGCACCAGACCTTGCTGCCGCCTGCGCTGCAGAGGACGGGCACACAACATGTGTGGGGAGAAGCACAGCACTGCTTTCCTCTGGGAACAGACACCTGCACTGACCCCCGGTTGGTCTTTGTCCCTTCCTCAGACCCCCACCGTCCTCGGGAACCCGTTACACCCCCATATCGGCCCTCGCCGCTGCAGGGTGCGAGGCGATGCGTACCTTCAGCGTGGCTGTCCGTTGTCCTCCCAAACGCTGTGCTGGCTGCGTGACATGGCCATTCCCCTGGCAGCAGCCGTGACTCCCCCAGAGAGCCCGAGCCCACACGCTGCAGGACAGGCTCCCGTCCTGTGGGACGTGGGATTTCTTGCATCGCTGCATCAGCTAGAGGCTGAGCCCACATCCCTGCCCCTCTGCAAAACCACCCACCTTCCTCAAACCACGTCGATGTTTGAACAGCGCTGGTTTGGTTACCTGTGCTCCCAGGGAAGGGGTTTGGTGCTTTGCGAACGTCCCTGCTGGCGTTGTGTTCAGGGAGAGCAGGGCTCCACAGAGCACCGGGACAGAGGGGAATCTCCTCTGCACGTTTCCCCTGGAGCACTTCCACAGCTACTCTGTTCTCAGAGATGGTGGCTACAGCACACGGGGGGTGACCATTACCTCGATACGCGCCAGTTCGGATTTCACAAGCCCCCCTCGGCCATCCATATAGATCCTGAAATCCTCTGGCAAAAACACTCTATGTC